TATATATATATATATATATATAAAGATAGGGAGTATAAATGTATATATATATATATAAAGGGAGAGAAAGAGAGTATAAATACATTTATATTCAATAGACATTATTGTTCTATACGTCTCACAGAATAAAGCTGTTGAAAGTATTTTGTGTAGGAAAGAGGAGACTCAGTAGTTTTGTTGCTATTTAGGAAACGGAAAAGTAAGTGTGCTTTTTGTGATAAATGTGAACTTATTTTATGTTTTTAACTTTGTGTTTTTCTAAGCAGATGGACGGTGAGTGTCCCTGTCAGTCATCAATGAACCTTTCCACGCTGCACGAAACTGGTTCTTTTGATGATCACTTTGCCATTCCACTGTCACCTCCCCATTACCAAGCCGTAAATCCGTTTATAAAAAGAAAAGAATTTTCGGGAATTCTAGTGGACCTCAGTCAACCTGATCTTAGTGAAGCTGCAATATTCGCTCAAGCAGATAACAGTTTCTTGTGTGCAGATGAAGCAGAAGAGGACACTACTTGCAAGATTGAAACTCACAATGGAAATCCCTACACCGACATGAGTGAAACCATGAGTTTAATAACTAACGAAAATGGATTGAAATTATCGGACAATGACGATCCTTCTGAGTGTCTGATTCCCAAAAACTCTTCCACAGACAGCGAGCTAGGTTTGGAACGTCAGTTGTGCCCTTACATGCTACGATCTGGGTACCACGAACCTTACACAATTCGTCCATCTCATCGGACACATAGATCAAACCAAAATTATTCTTCAAGAGTTGGACTACTAAACATAGCCAAATGTAAGACCACGTTCTTCCTTCATTGGAACTGGGCTACTGTCCGCCTTGGATGTTTCGTAATACTTGCGTTCGTCATTATCAGCATGTTTTGCATGGTGATTAGATTAGTGGCGTCAGGCAGCAAGGAGGCCTATGGCTTACGGAGAGACTGGTGGCAGGGGATGGTGTCGTATGAAATTTTTCCTGCTTCTTTTCAAGATTCGGACAATGACGGCTATGGGGATTTGGTGGGTCTGATTCAGAGATTAAGTTACGTCCAAAGTCTCAACGTTAAATCTATCAGGCTGAATTCCATTTTCAGTGCGTTAGACTACCCTCTAGAGTTTAGTCATATCATCGACTTCCTCAGTGTAGATCCACATCTGGGCAGAATGGAGGACTTCCAGAACCTGGTAGATGAGCTGCACACACGAGGCATGCGTCTTATATTGGATATCAATCCTTCGTTGACCAGTGACCAGCATACTTGGGCTGCCCACTGGCTACAAAACAGTACTGGAAAATACAAGTATTACTATGTTAACAACGAGACATTAGTAAGTATTGAACCTTTTGTTCCATTAGTAATTAGGATACTGAGATGGGCGTAATGCTGATATGATATATTTTCAACTTCCGGTAAAAATTGTTGCGAGCGAGTTTTTGTTTAGAGCTCTTTATTAGGTGGAGCTAGTCATAATGTTTGTTTTACTAAATTTGTATCAACTCGTCACCATGTAAAAGAAAATATATATTTCGTACATCAAACTACAACTGAAAAAATTTTACAAGTTTTCTTACGATATATTTACTCGTTTTCCTTTCCTTTTGAAAAAACAATAACACTTTGCTATTTCAGTCTCGTTACAGATCTGATTCAATTGACCTTTTCGTTTCTTCATTATTCATAAAACACCACTTCTCACCATATATTCTCAGTCTTCTTATCCACAAGCAAATGTTTCATTTGTGGCATTACCTATATTTTCCATAATGCATAAATATGTGTAAAATATTTTAATGCACACACACATATATATATTTAACAAATAAGTGTATTCGTGACTTCGTGCCCACAAGGGACTGAATTCGGCTGCAGTAATTGATAGCTTCTAGGCCTAGTTAAAATACACACAATTTTTAATTGATATGTATGTATAAACACATACTCGTAGATGATATATACATATAAATTTAAATGTCTTGATGAAATTCAAGCCCGAGGGAACTTAGTATTTGCATAAGGGACAGCTCAAAATGGTGGATTAATGAAAGCATGCTTTCAATAAACGTCTTTCAAAGAACAGAAACATAAAATCGAAGATCTAAATCGTGGTATAATATGTTAAATTTTGTTTGTTTGGCATTATAAGTATATCATGTAACGCTTTTCTAAATGAGATTGTTTCTTTTGTTGAAAAGTAAGTTTGATACTTCGAAATCAATGCAATAAGTATGGTTGTCATTCGATAGTTGTTTATAATTGCATCGAGCTAGCTATTCCCACGTGATAGATATATGTCACGCTACTTTTTTAAACGGTGTTTTACAGCAGGCTTTGTGTTACTAAGTCACCCATTTCACCACTTGTTAACACGGTGTTTCACAGCAGGCTTTGTGTTACAAAGTCAGCCATTTCACCACATGTTACACGGTGTTTCAGAACAGGCTTTGTGTTACTAAGTTATCTATTTCACTATTTGTTAACACGGTGTTTCACAGCAGGTTTTGTGTTACTAAGTCACATATTTCGCCACTCGTTAACACGGTGTTTCACAGCAGGCTTAGTGTTACTAAGTCACCCATTTCAGCACTTGTTAACACGGTGTTTAACAGCAAGTTTTGTGTTACTAAGTGACATATTTCGCCACTTGTTAACACGGTGTTTCACAGCAGGCTTAGCGTAACTAAGTCACCCATTTCAGCACTTGTTAACACGGTGATTAACAGCAGGTTTTGTTACTGAGTGACCAATTTCGCCACGCTTTAAGTTAGTGTTACACAGCACGTTTTGTGTTGCTAAGTCACCCATTTCACCACTCTTTAACGCGATGTTTCACAGCAGAGTTTGTGTTACTAACTAATATATTTCACAAGTCCAATCTACTAAAAAACCATCTTTATAATCACGGATTAAGAAGCATAGCTAAAGAGATGTTTCAAAATCTTAATGCATACAGACGGTGTTTAAAAACTTGCTCCAAGTTTTTAAGGTTTCTTTAATTAAAATGTTTAAATATTGATACTATGTATATTACACTGAATACATATTTTGCAAAACTTGCTTTTCTGTGACCCTAAACGTGACTGCAATTTCGCAAAGAGTGTTTCTAAACTTAATTGCTAAATTAAATATTTTTTTGTATATTTCTCATTAGATAGAGCACTTAACTATTAAATATTTGTTTTCTTTTTCACCAGAGGAGAAATTGAAAAGATAATCTGTGGTTTAGAGGCCTAATGGTGAAGTAAAATAGAGTACATATGTATTTGTCAGTCATTTAGTTGCTGTATAGATACATCATATTCAGTAATTGAAATATTTGATAGTTCTATAGTTATTCTTACCATTTAAAACGTATGCCTAGGATAACCTTTCCGAATTCGATGATGAAGATAAAGAAAATCCCAGTCGTCCGTTTGGCAGCCAATTCTTTCTCAACTGGTCTCATCCTGCGGTCCAAAACGAAATGGATCGAGTTCTGAATTTTTGGCTTCAGAAAGGAGTAGATGGATTTTACATGAAGGGGTTGAGGGTAATGAATTCTAACAATATTTATTTGGTGATGAAAAGGTGGCGCCACTTACTAGACACTTATAGTGTTGACACCGATAAAAAGATCATGATGGTGTCAGAAAAGTTTCTGAAGAAACTAAAAGATGAGGAGAGTATTAACCTACGTTTGATTCTAGATACGTGTGACCTCATAGATGTCCAGTTACATCTCTCTTTGGACCGAACTTCGTCTATTGAGACGCAAGTTCTTCAGGTAGCTGAGTGGAGCAGCATGTCGGCTTCACCGTGGACACACTGGCATCTTGGTAATGCAGAAACATCGAGGTTAGCAACAAGGGTAGATACAAGCTACACATTCAGTGCCATGATTTTTCTACTTATGTTGCCTGGGTCAATCTCACTGTTTTATGGGGACGAGATTAATCTCCAGGACTCGATAGACATCATCACTGGGAAGGTGAGAACCTAAATGTTGTTAAGCTTTATTTAATTATTTGCCAATCTGCTTTACTGCTAGCACAGTTTCAAGTTTTTTTTTTCTTTTAGTTTACGTTACTTGTCAAACTCTACAAATCAATATAAAAGCCAGCACACCAATATTAGTCTTATGTGCAAGATAATTATAAGTAAACGTAGTTTTAAAGCCGAATAATTCGAAACTGCTACGACGGAACAGTTTTAAGTTATGATGTAAACAAAATATTAGATGTTCAAAGACATCCAGTTCCTAAAAGTAAAATAATTCAACATTTGTGGTGGTAATTATCTCTAGGATACTATTTTACGTAAAAAGTGAAATATCTTAAATACATTCAATTTTTTAAACACTTGATCTTCAAAATACGTCGCTATATATGTTTTAGATGTCCAAGTAGATAGAAGTTATGAAATTTAGTTTATTTTATATTTTAATTATAAACACTAACAGTACGTGTAGTCAGTAAAATGCAAGATCATATAATAAAACAAATCATTAATTAACGATGATAGAATTACCGGATAACATTCGTAGAGAATTATTAGCTGAATAATATAATATGCCAGTGTAGAAAAAAATGATACAGCCATTAACTTTGGAATGATTTTATACGTGGTTCTACTGTTACAAGTGAGCCTCACTTTCAAATTGTTTTTCAGACTTTCAGTGTGGGGCAACTTTGTCCAATGCAATGGGAATCAACGTTCGAAGCCAACTTTACTCATAACAAGTCGTTGCCATGGCTACCCATCCGTCCTGATTTTATGGTAAATAACGTAGCGCAACAATCCATGAACATTGCTTTGTTACGTCAAGTTATCTCAGTCAAACAAAGTTCGCCCTCTTTGTGGATGAAAGCGTTTTATGACAACGGTGGTGTCACCAGTGGAAAGAAAATGTCAACGTTTATATTTCATTATATCGACGAAAACGTCGTTGTTTTGGAAAGGCATCTCCAAGATAACAAGAAATATGTTTTATTTGCTGAATTTGGCGAAATCCGACGGACATTAAATTTCTTAAGGTACTTTTCTAATGTTAAAGTTTTGTTTTCAACCTCCAATAATTCAAATATTTCTAACTTAAGCCAATTTTCTATGATCCCAGGAACGGCTCTAATAGCAGAAGTAGGGAAATAAAAAAAGAAACCTATGATGGGATTATAAGCGTAATTTTGAGAATTTTTAACATCTTTTAATTGTTACAGTTATGTAACTGCTATTTTCATATAAATATGAAACACCTATAAGCATGTTAATTATTGGTATTCAACTTTACCATATTACATTTAATGTACTAAAATGAGTTATTCAGTAGCCTGTAGCTTCCAATCACATTTTGTTTTTCCTTCGCAGACATATCTGAAAATCAATTACAGAGAAAGAAAAACAAGCTTGGATACCAAAGACTAATAACTTTGACAATTCGAGTTTTTGGTTCGTAACAGATATAATCTTCTATTTCATGTTTCAGCAGTTTACAACAAACAAGCGATGTTCACATTTTCTAATTTACCTCTGTTTGAAAGTTATCGTGACGAGTTTTCAAATCTCCCTCAGAAATCAAACACACAGCAGTTTGACATATAATATGGGATTTTGATAAGCTTCAGTGAGGAACAAATTTCTTTCCGGGTTTTTTGTTTTACAGTAATAACGTTTCTTCCTTTGTGACAGAAAATAAGGAGAAATTGCTATCTCTCAAAGCTCTTAAATTAAAACATCTTACTTTACAGATTTATTTAGAAAATATTAGATGTTAAGTGTATATTCGGTCCATGTCTTAAGATTTAAAATGTATCAATAAAGTTGATTTTTTTCATGTTTATTTTGTAACAGTTTGTTTACACGTCGTTACTGGGTTCTATTATCGCTTTAGTAACATGTATTTTCTAGATTGTGCAGTTCCAGAACGGACATAAACAAGTAACAGTAAATTTACAGAGTGAGTAATTAACACTCTAGTTGCCCGGCATGGCCAGGTGGTTAGTGCGCTCGACTCCCAATCTGACGGTTGCGGGTTCGAATCCCCATCCCAAAAAA